TTAATTGGATACAAGAACGAAATGACAATCTTCATAAGCTCCACTAACATTACAAACGTCCGTCTTCTGTGAATGGCTCTTTGCACACGTGCATGAGGAATAAAAACAAAGGCTGCCTTTAAGAGACGGCAAAATACGCAGAACTGCCTTTACTAGGAAACTGCATTTGACAGCTGAGCTCCTGGTAAATGATAGAGTAACAAATAAGACAAACGAATGGATTTTCTCCTAAACGTGTAAATGAAGATACTTCTAAATGCACGAATCCTTTGATGTCGCTGCTATCTGAGACATTATGAACCAGAGGAAATAAAGCAGAGCACATTTTGAACATAAACTTGAGCCTGAAAGGCGACAGTCGGAGAAAGCGCTCATCACTTACCTTTTCTCTAAGTGAACGCAATAAGCAATCAAGTCCAGCGCGTTTCGCGTTACAGACGTTCAGTGGCACCATGATTTAGACCCATCATTTATTAATGGGAAACACTGATCGGTTAGCTGTCAAAAGACTAGCACGCCCTGATGCTCAGCAGATCGGGACGCGTTTTTCATCGTATTCGCATTGATTCTTTCGGGAGCGACACTCCACAAAAGGCGACACTGCCTTTCTCGCGCTGTCTGGAAGCGCGCCGCACGCGTCGTGCGTCCAAACGCGTTACAACGCGCGCCAAGCGAGAAGGACACATATAATTACTCTCTCCAGCAGTTTAGTGATATTCCAACCAATTTTTTTCTCTCTCTCTCTCTGTGTGTGTGTATGTGTGTGCGCTCGTCGTTTACGACTCAATCCTCACTTAAAAAGACTGGTATACAAAAGACTAATTTCCAGGAACTTTCCAGGAATCGTATCACGTGGTCAGATGTGCGGACGCTCTCTTAAGGTCGTGCCAACTGGCTATTTTGTTGTTGTTTGTTTGTTTTGTTAAGATCCGCCAGCCACATATTTTTATCGCAATCCACGCTGCTGCATGTAATTATAATTTAATTTTATTTGATTGTGAGGATGTTTTTCATTAGAGACCTAATTATTTGTAATTTCTTTACATAAAGGCCTAATATCATAACTAGCCATGAAATGCAAAGGACGGGCTATATATACTGCCATACTTTCAATATAGCACATCCCAAATCTATTTTGTTTATTATTCATTTGTTTATTATTAATTGTTTATACATTACTGCAGTAAAATGTTTATTTCTTTATCAAACATCTGTGATGGGCATGTTTTATAGAATCTGAATCCGTACAGTTTTTAAAGAAATGTACAGTGGTCGCTGAGGTCTGTGTCTTACAGTTCTGTGTCTCTATATTCATCTGAGACACAGTCACAGCATGACAAGTGCCACCTTAAGCCAGGGATTTATTGCATACATATGACAAAACAAAAAAAATATAAGCTGTATAATTTTGGGTTTTGTCTGTGTGTAAAAACACCCAAACCACAATAAACTACCTGAATATCTACAACACGGATAGATAGATAGATAGATAGATAGATAGATTAAAATTCATTACATTAAGAAAGTCTATAATTAATATTGGCAGACACTTCCCAGATTTAATGTCTGTAAAGCCCTTGTATAAAGACAAGAGTGGATTAAAGGGATTGTTCACCAAAAAATGAAAATTCTGTCATCATTTACTCACCATCATGTTGTTCCAAACCTGTGTGAGTTTCTTTCTTCTGTTTAACACAAAAGAAGATATTTTAAAGAATGTTGGTAACCAAACAGTTGGCGGTCGCCATTGACTTCCATAATATTTATTTCTATACGAAGTCAATGGCTACTGTCATCTGCTTGGTTACCCACAATCCCTTTAACACAGTGCTCACACTCTAAAAATGCTGGGTTGTTTCAACCTAACTTTGGGTCAAATATGGACTAACCCAACTTTTGGTTTAAAAATGTAATAAAAAAATTTATCCTAACAGCTGGGTTAGTCCATATTTGATCTAAAGTTGGGTTGAAACAACCCAGCATTTTTTAGAGTGCAGAGCTGACTGTAAGTCTGATGCCTCAGATGACCTCACACCAGACAATTGGTTTGCTTGTTATTTTTATGGATGGGGTCATGTTACTTGTGTTTATAAACCAATTAGTTGCTCCTTTAAAGCGAATAAAGTTGTGGTCAAGCATCCTCTTCTTTAGAAAAAATTAGGAGGACCTGTGAGGAAGATCTTGGCAGACCAGCCTCAGATGACACATGGGACTGTGTCCTGAAGCAGGTTCAATCATCATCAGTGTGTGCTTGGCACTCATTTCAATTTAAGGCGAGACACTGCAAGTGAATAGGGTAAAAAAAATAACTAATAGTTATCGCCATACTTACCCAGCTGATTGATTATATTGATAATTGCAAACATTTTTTGTATTACAAGTTTTCTAAAATGTTAGGTTTGGATATGCAAATGAGTCATTATTTAATGAAATATGCACTAATTTGCATACATTTCTTGTACAAAAATCTAAACACGGGATGATGTCAGTTTCAAAATTTTTGTTACATTTTTTTGCCATATTAGAGTCAAAAGTTTTTACAGAGGGAATTTTGGGTATCTCATTTTTGTCACTCCATAATTCAGAAAATGCTTAGAATGGACAGAAAACATTATATTTTCACAATTTCGGGGGTATTAAAATGTTGTATATAATCAAGCTAATTATATATGAACAAAGCCCTCTGTAAAAAAACCTTCAGGATATACAGGAATAAAAATGTAAAGTTTGGTGTGTGTAAGTG